GAGCGATGTGAACGTGTCGGAGGAGCGCTCCCTCTGCGAGAGCCAACTCTTGCATTTTGGCCGATATCTCAGGCGATCCCTCTTCGATGAGAGCCTTCATCACGAGTCCCGCGCCTTTCACTATCGCAAGCGACGGGTGTTGGAAGAGTCGGAATATGGGTCGTCCGTAAGCGGCGACCATTTCCAACAGTGTGTCAAAGTGTCCGCCATCTGTGGTCTCGCTATACGGCGCGCACAACGAAAACGTCAAGAAGTCGAGCATCGATGAGACGACGAGAGCGCCGGTGCCTCTGTCCACGTGAAGCTTCATTACGTCCAGAAGGCTCTCCAGAAAGCTCTTCGACGACAGCAGCGAACTCTTGTTCAGCTGTTCCTGACGTAAATCGTAGTCGTCGTGCATCGGCTGTCAATCAAAACCATTTTAATTTCAAATTCATTCATATATCAGAATATTCTTTAAAAATTTAACTAAAAAACATTTTCAAGATTAAAAATAAGTTCTTAAAAAAGAATTCTTGTTGAAATATAAACACATGGTTTCAGTGTATATATATTATGTGAATATATTCTCTATATTATTAATAAATCCTAAGTCTTAAGGGAAGAGAGGAGAGGGAAAGCATTTGTTCATGAGCTAAACAATCGGCACATTAAGTCATATAACAGTAATAATAAACACAATATTTTTTATAAACAAATGCAAAGTTCAGGTTTCGCTAAAGTAAATAATATCTCAATGAATGGCATCTCAACTGAAGTCAAACGCCCCTTAAATTTATTGACAGAATTGATAAAAAAAAAACTATAACTAAATCTAATGCCATTTGAATCCATTAAAACACAACACATTTAATAGCATTATATGAAAAGATAATAATAAAAATAGCAATTAATGGTCGCAAACCTGCATCAGAGCGCACAACATATCAATAGCTGAATGAATCACATTATCGTTATTTTGCTTCAGACTTCGGACAACTTTTAGTCCCAAACACTCTCTGAATCTCGGATTTGCCGTAAACGACGAAAAGCCAGCTTTTGAGGCAACCAATCGTCGGAGTGTCTGAAACTGTTGCTCTAAGTGTTGATCATTGGTCTCGTTATGTTCGCCATCCCTGTCGGCAAAAGCGGCCAAAGCGTTAAAAATCATTTTCTCCTTATTCTCGGCAAAGAGTCCGTCTTGAGTGACACTATGTGTGAGTCCACTATAGGAACAGTTGGCGTTGAATCGGATGATCGCCTCATTGAATGTCCAATGACTGGGAGGTGTTTGGAGAAACTTCAAGTGCTGGCTCTCCACCTCTTCGTCCACTCGTGCGTAATATGGAGTGAATCGATGGGCTCTTTGGCTGTGATTCATCTTCACGTGAACGTCGATATTACCGGACGCGCGGACGCCGTCCATAATGGAGGCCAGAAACGCGTCCCTATCTGTCGAGCTATAGCTACGAATGTCTCCATTAATGTATTCAATGGAAAACATTTGCGGATTTGCCGTCTCTCTGATCAAAGCAAAGACATCACTCAACGGCCTTAACGTTACGATGAGATAAGAATTGGGATCCCTTTCCACTAAACACGTGTCCGTCAAACACAGAACGCGTTTGATTGGCTCCGACTGGTGTCGGGCACTGATCTTATGGACGTTGAACTCAAACAACGATGTGATGGAGTCGTCGTCACTGTATCGGCCGAAGCGTTGGCTTTGAATTTGGTCTAAACTAATGGACTCCTTCTTCACCCGAAGCACAACTCCCACACAATTCCAGGCGATGTCGCAGATCCTCCGCAACAGTTCGTCCCTTTGGTCGCAATCAAACA